AACAAAGAAGAAAATGGAACAAATGGATTTACAATATCATAGTGATATACTCTGATCGGTTCGTTTATTCCCAGTAGCGATAAACATTTTCCAAAACATTGGTATCATATCATTCCAATTTCCTCATAATTTTATTTTCGTTTTCTGTTTATCTCGAGCTTGAATCTTTTCACAAAAATATAGAGTCGGTTCAAAGAAAAATACCGTGACAACAGAAGTCATAACAACAGCAAACTGTTAGACCGAATTGACCAAGTTCGATGGATATTGTGTACGATAAATAAATAAATAAAATACACCGAACGAGCCGCAAATTTTGGCCATTGGTGTGACCACAAATTTTCCTTAAAACGAGCGCTACTTTACCATTTGATGAAAATTGGGTGCTAAAAAATGAATCAAGATGAAATATTTCCAGGCATTTTTGGAGTAATTTCTTTCAAATGTCGTTCTTTTGAAATTCTCTTGATTTCTGAATTGTATAAAGTTCCACAAGCATTTGAAATGTGTACCAACTACGTTTGCTTTCAAAAAAAAAAACTCATAAAAAGTTTTTCAATGTTGACGATGCTCATAAAAAACGATTTTACGATCGTTAATAACTTTTTTTTCTCCACAAGAATCATTGGCTTGTTGTCACCTAGCAACTAGACTATGGTGACGATTTTACAGAATTTACGAGCGTCCGAATAATTTGATTTATTGCTCAATTTTGAAATCACAGATTCACTTTCCGATAGCACTAAACAAAATGTAGTTCCTGTGTCACATAAACTTACTATTTTGAAATCAGACAACATGATTTAGATTCCAAATTAGAGATGAACCCGAATAAACTACAGGAAGCTGACATTTCGAATCTTGCAAAAGAAAAATTAAAAAAAAAACTATTTGCTTGTTTACAGATGTTTGTGCGCTATCGCAAAGAATATGAGCTTAAAATTTTCATCACATTCAATGGCAGCTCTCCAGCATCCGTTGTCATCTACGTTATTTCAGCTCGAAATTTATCTTAAACTGCAAGTCAGCGGAGATGATGTGTGTGTTTACTTTGTATTTATTTGTCGGTATAATTTTTTCGTCGAAATTCAGAACATGCTTGCCATTAGACGGTCGGATGGTTAGTTTACTGAATTGAATTCAGTGTGAATGGCAAGAAACATATTTCATGCGATAGCATGTTCCAAATATATATATTTTTTGTATTGATACCATTTTATGGGGTAATTTTACGTGCGTTATTTTTTATTTCCATTGTTATTGCTTCTATAATGATATGAAGAAACTGACACATTTCGGTTTAACATTGTGAAGTATTCGTTGTCGCTTTTGCGTCGCACACAACAGTCTATGGTATTCATCATGGATGTGCCACACGCTCTTTTATACAGATACGATGCGATGAAGATATAATTTTAAAGAAGTATGTATACGACAATTCAAAGTGAAGTAATTCGCATAAGAATGAAGATAAATGGGAATCGAAGTCGCAGTTATGCCCCTTTATGCAAGACTAAAAACAGCCGTAAAATAATGGCACAACCATGACCTTATCCAATGTGATGCTGGATATTTTGTGGTTTGATGTTATATCGTTTGCGTGCGTGATGTGGTGATGCTTAAGCCCTCCCAAAGCGTCATGATTCTTGACGGAATGCTACTGGAAATATCATCATTTTTCTTAATAATGCCAAACCATTTTATTATGACATCGTTGTGCCATCTAATTTACTTCGCACAAAACCTCACATTTTCCACATTTGATCGAATTTTCTTTTCAGTTCCGGCTGTATTAAGTAATCTCTTATTCCTTGACGTGTATATCTGTAAATATATGTAACCACAGTTTGTATTTTATTCCGTCGTGACAGTTCGTGTACATGTTTTCATTGTCCAAGTACGAAAGTTTGTGTCAAACACACACGCAAATACAACGGACGCGCCTCTTTTATCCTCGACTCTTACTTTGTACCACATTTTTATGTGGCAAGTGTTTTGTATTTTTTCTTTGCGTGTTACAGCTTTATCTTTGTCAATTTCTGTTTCATTCAAGAACTTCTTTTAATTTATTAAGACAGATATAGAATTCCATAAAACTGCCACATCCACGTGTTACGTGAAAATAAATATACAATGGTAGGGTGTAGCACTTTCTTCAGTGTCTTTAGTGCTGTGGACATAATTTTTGACCACTGTCGATGAAGCTTTTGGATATTTTAGCTACACCCTAAATACGGCAAATACTTGATGCGCTTCATTGTACTGTATTCAATCTACCGTGTGCTTCACTATCGTAAATATAAACGGCAGACAAGCAAGTCAACAAGCAGGCAGCAGATTTCCTTGAAATAGCAAGCATGTTGAAAAGTGGATATGAGAAATGCAATCGGTGTCGGCAACACATAAATATCGCTTTAGATTAACCGATTGTACTTTCCATTGTACCATCATTTTTTTCCAGCTGTATTTTTCCTCGACCTGCTGGTTTTCTATCTTTAAATTAATATTTACGCGAAAAATCAACGGAAGTAAGACGATATAGAAGCATACTCAAAGTTCCTTTAAAACGGTAGCAGGCAATTTATGTTCAACAACTTGTAAAATATACATTGAGTTCATGTTTTACGATGTTGCTTTTACTTGTTTCGCTGATATTCGACGTATTTCATTTTTCTTGTGTAGCATCCACGTGGAAAATGCGGATAAAAAAAGGTGAAATCGCACGCACCGTCTTTTGCAGTGAATAGATAATGTAAATTTATAAGTGATTCGACTATTTTCACCGCTGTTTCATTCCGCACTGCCAATCAAACTAACAAAGAAATGTTGAAAAAGTAAACAATTCTGCTGCATATAGCATGGATGCTTGAAATATTAGAGGCAAGATAGTAAACAATTTTCACAAAAATTAAGGGCATTACTCTCCACTTTTTATGTGAGTGGCTCTAAATCACTGTGTTCACTGCAAAAAATAGATTTAAGTGCCATTACGATTTCTCTCTCTCTCTCTCTCTCGATGTTACCTGTGTGCGAAATTTTTTTGATAGCGTAAGTCGCGTGTGCTGTGTGGCATGACACATCTTGATGGATATTCTTGGAAAGGATTTATTTCGACAATAAATTTTTTTTGTGTGTGTGCGCTCGCACTCGCCTCACTTTTGCGCATCGCTTTTTCAATGTTAAGAAGATTGGTTTTTTTCACTCTCTTTCTCCCTCTTACTGGCTGTCTCTCTTGCTGGCTATAATTTGTGTATTTGGGTCTCCCAATTTACATTTTCCATTTGTCGAGCAGACACAGCTAATGTAATCGGCCTCAAATAAGTGGCTTAAAACGAATCATGCTGCGGCCAGACTAAAACGAATCATGCAATGAGATTTTATGCGAAAATCGCTTTGAATTTGCATTTTATGTCCAAAACAGCAAACAACCACAGCCATACATATACATTAATCTATGACATGAACTTACGCCTTATTATTGTTATTGAGATAGTGGAATAAAAGCCATTCAAACTGGAGAACGACCATCAAAGTAACAAGGGAAAGAGAAAAATGCGAATAGAATAATAGAAGCGAATTATGTCATTGTGCAAGTGCCATATCGGACGCATTTCAAGCGAAAACTTTAATCAAATTTGTCCTTGGATGCTGTTTTCGCTTTTATTACGGTTATTTACTTTGTTCAGTTCAACATTTTCCGGCATTTTTAGTTGAAGAACGAAGCTAACTTTGCAAATCACGCATTAAATGCAATGTAAATATTGTAACTTCATGGTACACATCTGCCAAGGTATCGCTTTTGTGTTCGATACTTGAGCAAAAGAAGATGGAAAAAGAAGAGAAACCTGAAGACATTTGGTTTATTTATTCGAATATTTCCAAGTTTTGTGAAGTTTTCCACGTGAATCGACATCAACATTCGAAACAGAGCAGTCAGTTGATAAAAAAACGAATCTCGCAGTAATAGCAGCGGTAGTAGTGGAAGTGATGGACGCATTGTATTTTCTTGCCATTTTTCCTGGATTTCAACTGTCTTGAGATGATGTGTTCTATTTTTGTCGCACGTGCTTTTTCACTGGAAATACCACACACTTGCACATGCTATAAATGCTTATTGCTCACAGACAGGCACAAAACGTATAATTTTATGTAATTTGTCAAGAGCGAGAGTAATTGGATGGTATAGCATAGTGAATATGTTGGAACAAAAATGACAATGGGGAGGTGAAATTTGAAAATTATTGCGTAGAAATGTGAAATCTCAAAGTTTCCATATCGATTTTTGGCAACATTTCCCAAAAAAAAAAATCCGTTGTCTCTTCTTAAGATATAAAAGTTCATTTCCATATCACTTTTATTCCAACGTACTCATGTGTATGCAAACAATGAAGGAAAAGTGTCTTGAAAAATGTCGCACAAAGATGACTACATAAAGTTGCTTGGGTGGTCCTTTGTGAATTGTTCCATCAACATTAAAATTCGTACTTGTTTCGGTTGTCGTATATTTATCTGAACGAAACGACATCGAAGCACAAAAAGTAGATGAATATCACCAAATGAAATATATAGATAAAACTCGTAAACATTATCTCGTGAATGCAGAAGTATAAGATGGACTGAAAAGCGCATTTGGATTCGAAACGATGAGATTATACGATAGCAACAGACTATCTTCACTTTGCATGAAAAAAACACCGACACACACATACAAACAATCATACCCTCATCTTAATGGCGCGCACACACCGAGACTTGAACATGCAATCACATTGAATGAGTCACAATTGGAGGAAAGTTAACGTCAAGAAACTTTGTGTTGTCTGAGGAACTTTATTTCGTCTCTTTTCGACGAACATGAAGTAGCCGACACATTCGATTTATATTTTCATAGTTTGACTTTCAATTTTACACTTTCCTTTCACTATCTCCGATAAAATCGAGTGAAACTTCTGTTGTTTATTTTCACTAACTTTTCTTTTTTATTTTTGTTTTCGTTGTAGCTTTATCCACCGAAATCAACATCGTATCGCAGTGAATGTGAGCTTTTCGGTTCGTATGTGTCATTGGATTGTCCATCACCGCCAGCGCCGCCAGCATCGTCCGATGCACGACGTGATCCCCAAGTACGTACAAATTGCTATTTGTTGTGAGATTTGCAATCTAATTAAACGAACATTTTATCGAACCATTTTTGCCGTTACCGTTTTTTTTCTCATTCTCCACATTCTACTCATTCGATTGACATAATTTGATTTTCCGTTTGGGAATGTTGCTCAATTCAATTTCCATTTTCTTTTATTTGCTCGAACAAATACGTTATTTGCTTGATTAATAATATAGGCGCGGCTCAGTCGATATTTGAAGATGATGTACACGGAATGGGCCCTAAAAGAGCCAAACATACCGACATGGACGAGCTCACAAATGCCGGGCGCATTGTCACCAGCTCGCATCGAACCCGAATTTCGATTACATTCACAATCACATGGATTTAGCGATTTATTAACGGTTGATCAATTGCTCACACCAATTCAGGTATTTTTTCACCATTTCACGCTCTCAACTTTCTGTTGTTATTGTTACGTTAATTTGATTGAATTGTTCACATAAATAATTAGACAAAAGACGGTCAAATACTGGAGGCTCCGCGTCGATTGATAATCGAATGTCCGCATTGGGTTGCCAGGCACTTTTTGGCAATGCGCATTTTACATGCATGGGCGAAAGAGCCACCATGGCCAACACGAGGCGTCCCAGTTGCCATCGCTCTCTATCTTCCATTAGTTGAAATGAATAATAAAAAGAGTATTGCACATTTTGTTGAAAAAGTAAGTGGAATGCCATTTTTGTATTTTCATTAATTATTCACATTGGTTCCAATGGTAATTTCAATTAAAAATCAAAAACAATTTATTTACTTCAAAGGAATTGATATCAAAAGGTCCAAATAATCCATTTGCAAGTGGTTTTGGTGGTTTTTCATCCGCATGGAATTCATTAACGGCACTTGGACCAAAGCTATTGATTGTGATTGATGGTTACGACATCGTACGAAATTCACCGAAACGAAAAGCAAAAAATATTCCACAAGACATAATCGATTTATTAGAAGGGAAATTATTTCCCGAATCGAGAATCATTATAATAAGCACATCACAAAATATCGTCGATATATTGCCATTGGTTCAGCGACACGTTAAATACGAAGGATTAACATGGGGCAAATCGGTTTCGTTGCTAAGCGGAGGTCAATGGCGTTCACAATCACGTTTTCTCGAAACGGTTCAACGGTGCATTCACCTACGGAATGTGGCACGAACGCCACTCGGTTGCTTAGCATTGGCATCGGGCTATGACATTTCAAACGGCGATTTACCAACGGAGGAAATTGATGTGGTTGAATCGATAATGAATTGGATTGCATCGGATGCAACACAAGCGCATATCGCCGAATTGGGACGTTTGGCACTGTTTTCATTAAAAACAAAACGAACAACGGTTACATCGACTGAAATAAAAATGTATTGCTCAAATCCCGAATCAAGTATATTGAATTGCTTGGAAAAGGCACAACTATTTGGTAAAACGGCCAAAAAGAAAAACGAATACATTTACACACCAATTTGTTCCGGTATTATTGAATTATTGGCGGCCAACTATATTGCATCGTTGGCCAATCGACCAGGACTATTGGCGGCCGAAATTACCGGTTTATCATTGAACGATGAAGTGGAACCTGAAATACTCAAAGTGCTTACGTTTGCCATGAGTTTGCTTGGACCACGTGCACACATTCTATTATCGCGAATGACACCACTCTGGTTAAGCCCACAGACGGTTTTCTCGTTGGCATTGAGCGGCGGCGATTCAACAGCCAATCTCAATGCTTTATGTGACTTATTAGGTATATCGAAAACACCGTCAATCTCACCATTGGAAACGAATCCAATTTGGGTGCAAATCCGTTCGACACCCGTCGAACTACAAGGCTGGGCGATGGCACTCAAAAGCCAAAATTGTACATTGAAAAATTTAGAATTAAACTATCAAATCGACAAGCACACATTTTTAGAATCTAGAAATAGTTTGGATATTTTCTTGGATGCGCTTTCGTTTAATGAAAGTGTGTCCACGTTGCGAATTACGTCGTTGATTGAAAACGATGCCAAAGAAATAGAAATCAACGTCATAGCCAATTGTGTATCGAGATGTTTGCTAAAACCGCGACTCGAGAATTTCGAATTGATTTTAACGCTGCTCGACGAGGATCCGCCAATGCTGAAATTACAATCAGTTGTTACAGCATTGTGCCGTTCGTTGCCACATCAACCAAAAGTCACATCGATGCTACTCGATTTGGGTTTGTGCACATCACAGCTTGTGCAAATCAGTGGAGTTTTAGAAGCATGCCCGAATGTGGCGCGATTATCATTGCCACATTTAAGATGTGAACGTGGTGCTGTTGTTGCATTGGCATCGCTGTTGAAAGCTCGACCATTGGCCTCGTTGGCATTACCTTCTTGCTGGGGTGTTCGTGATGATTTACCCTCATCGAGTGGGGTCAGCATGAGTTCGGGTAGTGGCAGCAGCACTGGAACATCGGCAATTCTTAAACAATCAACATTAACAAATGCACCGTCGCCACGTTCATTTCAAACGGGAATATTTTCATCATTACCACGTGGCGCCCTGACGCCGGGCAATCCGAGTGGCAGATCAGCCACGTTGCCAAGGCAACCATTGGATTTACCGCCGGACAAACGTAGTTCAGACTCTGTCGTTTCGAAAACATGGTATCCAACACCGGCCTGCGACGGTGGACCACACAATTCGGGCACATTACACGAATTACTTTTGGCTGCACGCGAACCATATTCACGTTTGCATGGTTTGGATTTGAGCAAAGCACAATTATCACTCGAAGATTCGATGTGTCTTGGTGAAACGGTGCGCGTTTCAACTCAATTGCATTCCATTAAACTTGAAGGTTCGTCTCGTATGAGTGAAGTATTGCCCACATTGCTCGGTTGCGGTGAATCGATTAGTTTACAAATGATGAGCCTAGCATCGACACGATTAGTGCTCGAGGATGGAGCAACAGCAATGTCGTCTCGTGCTTTGGCCAATTGTGTTTCATTGAGATTACTCAGCTTAGACGGTTGGACTTTTAGAGTAGATGTAAGTCGACATTTTGATTTTAATGAAGTGTGAAAATTGATAATCTTGCAATTTCAAGAGAAATTGATTCAAAATTACTGATTTTCGTTTTATTTCTTCCATGTAGAATTCAACAACATTCTCGGCGGTACGCGCATTTTTAACATTTACTTCAATAAGAGAATTAGGATTATCAAATTGTCGATTGCATTTGCCAGCTGTAAAAATTGAGACAATTTCCCCGTTCGAAACGTACGAATGTCGTTCAGTAGTTGTATTGAAAATGGCTGGCGCACAAGTATTTTTAGCGGATAATAATATTTTAAGGGGGCCTCAATTATTACCATATCTATGTTTTCCATGTTTGCGTGAGTTGGATTTGTCTGGAGCAGCAAAATCTGGCCTTGGTAGTTCAACATCGACGCCATTCATCTTAGACGATAAATGCATTATTGCTTTCTTCCATTCACTGCACACGCACTTTAGGTGGGTATTCACTCAAGAACGACTCAAATAAATCGAGTCAATTGATTTACTGTACAATCGCATTTTATATCGGATGACTGGATAATTGTCGAAAAAAAAATTTATTTCTTTTTTTATCAATTTCAGCATGTTGAACACATTGAAAATGTGTAATTGGATAATACATTTGGATGATGCATCGAAAACAATGAAAACGGTTTCAAAAGCGTTGCGAAACAGTCCATTAAGTCATGTTAAAATTGATGGCATCTCTGTGTTAGATCGTTCGAAGAAGACACGAATTGAGCCAGCATTTTTCCATATGCTTTTGTCGTCGTTGAATTCGTTACGATGGTTTGGATGCAGTTTGGCCGGCAAAAAAGACGATCAAATCACAACCATTGGAAATGCAGTGCTCGACATTCGTGGAAATGAAATTGATATCCGGTAAGGTTTTTTTCTCTGTGTTACCATAAATATTGCCAGAAGGCGTGTGACACTTGAATGACAAATTTATTTTGATAAAATTTTATTCAATTTTTGATTTATAGACTAAGCGAATCAACGATTGATGGGGCCCGTTTAATGGCACAGGCGATTAGTTTGGATAGTAAATTTGATGTACGTGTTAGTACGTTTGGTACGTCGAGCGGAATTCTCATTCATGCTGAAAAAATTGGCAACAAACATCTGAATCGCAAGAATTAAACCATAAATACGGCGCAAAATGAATTTTATTGCAATTTATACGAAAGATAAAATATCTTCTGATTGATATAACAGTTGAATGAAGAAGGTTAATTTATTTAAATTCAAAACGAGTGAATCGATATATTTACATGATGAATACATTTCATAATTTATGGTCCTCGTATTTATTGACAAACGCCATTCGCGTGAAATAAGCTAAACGGTCGACGATGACGTCGGCGGCACAGATTCAATATTGTAGGAAACTATTTATTATTGATCGAATTAAATTATTTATGGAATTTTTGAGAATAAAAAAAATAAGAGTTGCATCTATCACGATTAATATTTACATAGAACAAATGTGAACAAATAAATGGAATTTTGCGCGCTTGTTTTCTTCCATACCATATTTCACTCACTCTTTCTCTCACACAAACACAAATATGACTATATATAGATCTATTGTAATTGGTATGCGTAGAAATGAACGTTTACATTTATTTTCGATATTTTACACACAAAACTAAATGTTACACGGGAATGGGGCAACAGTTTTCACATTAGACACATATTATTGACTAGCCGACCTATACCTAATATTAATGAAGAAAATAAATGAAATGAATATATTTTTGTTGAGAGTTTATGTATTGTGTATAGTTTTGTTTTTATTTAGGGAGTCAGGAAATGTTCGATGAAAATGGTCGGTGCTGATTTGTTAGAGCTTCATATAATAGCTCAATCGTTGTGTCTGTTTTCTTGTGCGCGCTCCACTTTAAATTTATAATATTATTATTATGCCGTATCGAAATGTATATCCGAGATGAAAAAAAAAACTCTATTTAAAATGAAATGTTTTTGGCAAACAATAAAACAAACACACATACACATACACAAAAGTTGATAAGGACATCAAATGTCAGTTGACTGTAGCAACTCACTTTTTTATATAAGCATCAAATAAAAAAAAACTTTAGTGGAAATGTTATAATTTTGTTGGTTGATGTTTAATATAACCTACTATTTACATGAGCATGTAGACAACACATAGACCTAGTTATGCATAATAATAACATATTTAGACATTCAGAAACATCATAAATGATAATAAATAAATAAAATGAACAAACTGTGTCCACACATTCAGAGCGGACAATTTTATTTGAATACAAATAATATTTGTTCACATTTTACATTTGTGAAATGTTGATATACCACTGAAAATATTCATAATACACAATTGGTCACATACAAATGGTAAGTCGAACACATATTGTTTTTTTTTGAAATACATTGAAGGTACCAATATGTTTCTTTTTGTAATTCGTAACAATGTGATCATAAATTGTCAACTTTTATCATATCCCACTTTTTGGAGGAAAAAAACATCGCATGGATACAATGGAACCATTTTTTTTAGCTACCACATTTCTACATTTATACGTCTGATACAAAATCCAAACTAAACCACTCCAATTTTAATTCGAAAAGTGATATATCTTAACGAATCGTCTAATCTAAACACTTAAAGAGACAATGTTGAACAAGTTGGATTGAAAGTTATGCATATATACATATATAAGAACGTATTAACCATTTAAACTTTTACGAATCGGCAAAGTCTGCATCAGTTAAGCAAATGAACTGTATTTAAAGGACTTTTTAACCGAAATAGTTGTGAGTTTCTCCATATGAAAGTTTCAAAGAAATCTTAACCCAAATTCATTTTCCGATTCGAACAAATTTATTTCTTTTCTTTTTTTTTGGCATTTCCATGCAACAAAAACTTACACTTAATTTCATTGATTTAAATTATATGTTTTCTGATTGGCATTCAAGACTGTAAGTATTTATATTTCGTAATTTGAACCCTTTCAGCATTTATTTGGTATTTCTTTGAGAGTAAAATCACCCGATGAAGAAAAATTTGTATTATACAGAGTAGTGACTTTGTTGATGTTCACAAAGTGAATGTGGGCCCGAAGGCACCACTTTGACTAGCCGATGGGCGTATATAGGTACCATTTTTTGCGAGTATGTAATTTTAAGCTGAGAAATAGAATTTCAGAACTAAATGTGTATTAGAGATATGCTACAGTTTTCTTGGTTTCTCTACATTCTTGTGGCACATAGATAGACGCAAAACGAAATGATAGACGAAAAAATGGTCATCTTTGGAATACTGTGGTCAAACGAACTTACAAATAATCAACAAAATTGTTTTTGTTAAGTTTTGCAATATTTCATTCTGGCGAAGTTGCTTTCAAATTGATTGACATTACAAAATAATGAAAACATTTCGTCAGCATTTATGAGCGAGCACAATATTACATTGAATGATGATTTATTCTTCTATCGATTGAAATGTGCAATCAAATCGTTGTCAAAATTCGAACGAGAGTTTTATATTGAAACTCGAATCGGTTATACACGGTGGTGGAAATTTGTATTTGATCCATCCGAACATATAAGATGACATAAACGAACCGTTTTTAACATTTATTTATTACATTTTGTGATCGTATCTAATCTCCTATTAACCAGCATAATGGATATTACGAATAAGTATAAGCAGTAAAATATGAGACGTGAGCTATTTTGCTCGTGCGAATCTCGACAAAAACGAAAAAAAAAAAATAAACAAATTGACAAGGAAAATTCTTCATGAAAAAAAAAACATGGGAAAAGAACTGTTGACGATAAAAATTTATTACTTATTGGATATTACTTCCTGTTCAATGAAAACATAATCAGACACTGTTTCCAATCCAGTTCTATCTTGGCTGTTGCTCATTTTTTTTTTCGTGAGGAAAAATTCCATTTTTAATGGAACAAGGAGAGAGAAGAAAAATGCATGAATATTGGAATAAAAAAATTGAGAAGATTGATTGAGTGACTGGCCGATAAAAATCTCTCTCTCCTTTTTTCAATTACGATAACTGTGAATTTAATGTTCAAAATTTAAAAAAAAAAATGTTCACTTTTTTGTCTCACCGAATGTTCTCAGAAATTGTAAATGGAAAAAGACAAATAAATATAACATTTCACTTTGTGACGGAATTGTTTTGAGTTTTATTTCATCATAATGTTTTTACTTTGAATGCATTTTGCCCGAATACTGAAAAAATCGCATACATGAAAGATTTTAAATTAGCTTCTAAAAAGGATAAGTACATGCTCTTTTTCAAGTTTGGAAATAGCGAACAAGTTGAAAAAAAAAAATTAAAAATTATTATTAACTTCAAGCTATGAAAAGCGCAGCAAGATTTTAGCACAAATATATATGGCATCGAATTTCGAATCGGTTCGCACATTGTTTAGCCAGTCCTTGTATTCATCTGAATATGATAAAAATGGGAGCAAAACGAAAAAAACTAAAACAAAACCATATGAGCGAGAAAAATGTCGACTTTATTTGCAGTTCACCGAGAAAATAATTGGATTTTGTTTGGTGTTGAATGTTAGCTTCATAACAGAGACACATGATATTTTCTCTTCCTTGAAAAAAACGTTTGAATGTCATGAGTTGCAATAATAGAGATGAATAATGAAATAAAATTTCACGTAGAAATTGTGAACTATTGTAGTCAAATTTGACCTACAACCAAGTGCATTTCCATGCATGATGTATTTTTAGAATATCAAAACTATTTTTCCCGCATCGTTTTCGTTGTCCCTCACAACGAAAATTGAATTCTGCGCAAATGAATGATATTTGAAATGTTTTATCAGAAATGAGTCCCAAGCTTTAATTAATTAACAGCTAGAGAAAAGTTTCGTAAATATTATTGAATATTTCATTTAAATGGAAAATTTTGACTGTATACTCTCTTCTCTGACAGTGTTTGTTGATGTTGTAAAACGTTCGTGTCTAAAAAGTGCATGTTTGTGTCGGTTATAAACTGAATAGTTTATCTTTTATTCATTGGCATCATCTTTTTTATTCATTTTTTTGTTGGTCATGAAAGCATTTCTTGCATTTGGCTATTCTGAGTTTGAAAATTGATGAAAAATATGTATGAAGCAAATAACGCACGAAAAAGGGTATAATCATAATAATAACATGCATTAATTGAGCGTAAAATGTAATGGTTGTGCGACAAAAAAAAATAAAGGGAATTTTGTTAGCAAAATGGGCGCTTAAAGGCTTCTTGTCTTCTACTGCAAATACATAATCACTTTGATTAAAAGTATAAAAAAAGGAATGTGCCAGCCCCATTGCACGCAAATGCGAAAAAATATGCCATTTACATTAATTTGTGCGCAATATTTGTTTGGTATCCATTCGCAAACGCCGTCAAACGCCTGAGCACATTATCATCGGAGCGCACTTCAACAATGACAACTGAACTCAACAAAAAGACGGAGCATTTCACATCATTATTGTCATTTGCGTAGAATATTATTATAATATGAGTTAAACTTGATTACTTTTTATTTATCGACGTCAATGCACAAGTGTGACATAAGAATGACAGACAGAAATTAGAATGGAAAAAAGTGCCATTGCTGGAAGTGAGCGAAGTGAAGATGTATTTTGGTAATCTCCACGGAAATTGGCGCATTTGAATACACAACGGTAGCAACAGAAGTCACATAAAATTACGAATTTGATAAGCTGCTTACTTGCATGTAATCATAATATCACTAACGGATCATCTAATGAATATTATATTATTCACAGTACTCAGTCGCATTTCATTCGCGTAAACATTTACATATACAAAGTCTTGCGAAAGAACAATCAACCAAATAATATTACATTTTCCACTTTGACACAATTATTATTATTTTAAATTGTCAATTAGCGTTTCGCACGAAATATAATAAAACATTTATTAAAATGAAATATTATCATTTTACTGCACCATATCCTACCATTACTTACAATGGCAAATAATGTCAAAAACTGCATGATGGCGCCATCTCTACGTGCACATGAAAATTAGAACAAAAAGTATGTGTAAAATATTGATTGATTCGAAGTTTGAATATGGAATCGTTTGTTGTGACATCTGTCATTCTACGCTCTGAACAAAAACCGATTTATTGTTTGCATCTAGTGAATTTGTGATGTAAAATAAATTAAAATTACTTTGCACAGTTTGTGCCATCGAAATAATTTGCGAGGACGTTGCACAACACATGGTTTTGCATTATACAAACATTCTACACATACTTTTTGTTCTAATTTTCAGGTGCACGTAGAGATGGCGCTGGGAACGCGAAGCTCAAAAAAAATATACAGTCTATATAGAAAGCAAGTGACGGTAGACCATATCCGATTTCTTATGCTGAACCGTAAAATTTTTGCAATAAAATAAAGCCGAAACTTTCAACATAACAGCCATCAATTGGCAGTTAATCCTCCAGCTTCGATGTACTTTATTTCTACGGGAGTTTTTTTTTTTTTTTTGAAATGAAATTAAATTATAAAATCACGGTGAACTATACTACTGTTTGTTTGGCAACATTAAAACCTTCATCTCATCGGAAATTGTATTCATTACAATGTTGCTCAATTTTTAGTTTTCATCATAAAGGGATGAGTTCGGATAATCTCTTTCCTTAAATTTTCCAGGTTAGTTACCCTCAAGCCAACGCCTTCCGCGTCAAATTTCCAGACAACAATTTTTTTTTGAACCGAAACTTCACCAACTAGCCCCTAAATAATTTTGATGCGAGTAGAATGAACCTCCTTTTTGCTAGGGTTTTTCGATGAGAAAAATTCTTTCATCATTTTTTCCAGGCACCATATTTGATTTTTAATTTCCTCGGAACGAATGTATTCAAAGTCAGTTAGTAATAAAATAATAGGTCGACTCGAAATTTTTCTTGTGTTTATTTAAGTTTATTCGAATGTGTTCAGATGTGAAGAGATGGTCAAAGTAAATGGCGGTCAAACTGAAGTAGTTTCAACTGCCAAAAGAGAAAAGAATTTCGTTTTGATTTTCAAAAAAGTCATGAAGTGAACATGTTTTATTTGCTCGAAACTGTTTCCGTTTTCATTTGGAAATGTTTTTAGCAAGCAAACAAGCGCCTTAGACGCGATATTTCAAATGTTAAACGAAATGAATATGACCAAAAGCAAGAAGTTTTTATCGAATTTTCAACGTGTGCAAAGTGTAAATGCGTCGAACGGAAATTGTAACTGTTGAATATGCTTTAAAGTATTTGCATGAGAGATGAAAGTTTGTTTCGTTTAAGTTGTGCATGATCATGAAGTCCAAGTTTTCAATGAATGGTGCACGCACTTGACAAACATTTTTCGTAAGTTTTTCCTTTTGACATTCAATTATAAATGTTTATGTATTAGTTTGCCGCTCTGCAAAATGGCCGACGGTAGTCGACATACTAATTCTATGACCGTACAATCAAGTGTGTTTTGTTTGTGCTTCTTATATGCCGTACCGGATTTCTGGTGAATTTCACTGATTCAATGTAACTAAAATTAGCAAAAAATGTTTTCGATTTTCGAAGTTTATTTGGTTCATTGAATTCTTGTGATTCGCGAATCGTCATCAGCACATTTTCTAACATATACCAAAAAAATAAATTTGGCGAGGATTTGGTCATAATCTACTGACTGCAGTTTACTTTGGTGCTCAATTTAATTTTTTTGCCATGGTGTAATAATGAGTGCAAAGCCCAGCCCATTGAGTAGGTAGCTCAACGTGTAATTTTGCTACAAGATAAATTGAAAACACCACGGAAAGCTATTTAAACCCGGTAATATGATGACTATTGTCCGTTCCCAAATCCACGACAACGCCATCTCTTGTTCCCCATCTGTTGCGAATTTTTTAACCAACCAATATTGATTGGTTCAAATTAAATAGTTTAATATAAATTCAAAAAGGGTTCAAGTCTAATCCCGACTTTTTGAAAAATCCTCAGGTAAAATATTAAAACAAAACTTGAAACAATTTTTTTGAATTCATTTTTTTAATTGTCGTCGATTTCATGGAGTAAACATATAGAAACAATATATACATACAAACACCACACTTTATAACAGAAGAACGAAACATGCTGTGTATGAAAATACTAATACATGTGCGCATGCTCAGCTTCGTTTCTGTGATGACCACTTTAAGCGTAAATGTGATGCTTGTGTATGTATTGTTTCTTTAATCTCTACAGTGTACTTTACTGTCAATTTCGCTCCTTCAAATCGATGGCAATTTATAATAAAATGAATTTTGTATCAACAAATGATTTTAAATATGGTTTCAATGATTTAAATTAGGATTTTTTTCAAAAAATGTGGGATTAAAATTAAATTCTTTTATTTTATTTTAAATTAAAGTGAAAATTTTGTCTCAGAAATAGCTACTGCTGTGTAACCAAAGATGGCGTCATCGGTTTAGATGCCAGTGACGTTTACATATAAATATGTCAACGCAATCCCCGGTTAAGCTATTTCAAGTTCAGGCATGTCAGGCACCACTACTTCATTACAAATCTAAGGAAATGGGCTGTGGGAATTTTGTTATATTTTTAGCATTGAATAAATTGGTTTCCGGACGATAAAAAACAACACAAATTCATTGCGCTAGTATTAATATTCTTCCAAATAGAAATCGGACAGAATAATGTTTTGTAGAAAATTGAAGAATTGTGAATATTTTGCTTTGCTCATCTAGAGAATAGTTCCAAATAGGTTTGCGAGTGTTAACGTTAACTTGTGCAAAGTGAAATAGAGAAGGTGAATAAATTATGCATTGAATTCGAGATTAATAGCAAATGCACATCGCACGGACGCCGTGTATCTTATCATGGTCGGCTGTGTGTATATTGCAAGACATGAATTCCCATTCGATGGAACAATTTATTTCGACTTGAAATGCAAACTGTTTACGCACTCAAAGGACTTGAATAGAACCGAAGAAGCAACAAAAGCTCACATAAGAACAGAATGTAATAAAACTTAAATTGGTTTTAATACAATATGGCCAAAAATGTAGCAGCCCAATGATTTCAAGCGTTGAAACATTTAATCACATGGCGTGCGGTCGACGATTGTACCGTTCTCTTTTCTTTTTTTTTTTTTGATAAAA